ACGACCGCGGTGCGCCGAGAGGACACCTCCGAGGCCCAAGGAACAGACGGTGAAAAGAGGGCACCGAAAAACGGGGCGACGGGCGAAGCAACCCCCCCAAACCTGACAATTCTGACTGACTTCAAGGCCTCTTGACAAAACAGCGCGCCCCGTGGCCGACGAAATGTGGGAACGCATGTTGTTCTACGTTTCAACTTCGCTTGGAAACGCTCCGCGTGGCTTTGGCCTGTCATTCAGAAACCTGTCCGAACTGGCAGCGATCTGCCTGGAATCGCCCACGTCTGCGACGACGCGGGCCTCGTTCGTGCCGTCTGCAAAAACGCGCGAAGATAAACCGCGCCTATCACCCGTTACTGGGCACGTGCCACGCAGGAGACAAGGGGGGACCTGGTCAGGTGTCTTCCACTCAACAATAGGATGCCTAGAAGGCAGCGGCGGCGATGGCACCCCCCATGCATTAGCTCCCGTGGGTTTGGAGCGCGCGACGCCCCAAGCCCGCCGACGTCGTTGCATGCGGAAGGGCGCGCCCTCAAAGGCGCAAGTATAATCGGCAACATAGTCTAGGCAACCGCGTTGAACCGGCCCGAGTGAATTTCCCACGCCACGTTGAGCATCCAAGGCAGACGCCCTGCCCGCATACTCCAGGGTCGCGCCGCCGCGGTTTGCACCGCCCCCGCCCTGCGCCTTCTTGAGACGTTCCCGTAGCCATGCTGCGGAATGCCCCGGCCAAGCCACGCGCCCGCGCCCGACAGGAGCAAGCCCCATATAATAATCGAGTGCCCAGCGTTCTCGTTTTACCGCTGCCGTTCGGTAGATGGTGCTTGAACGACATGTCCCAGTGCGCCAACAGACGACCGCGTCGTCGAAGTTTCGCAAGCATGCTAGACGCCCCCCCCCCCCCCCCCCCCCCCCCCCCCCCCCCCCCCCCATTAAGAATCACCGTCCATTTGGGCCGAGCAGCTCCTGAGCCAGCAACTCTCTCTGCGGCTTCGAGACGACGCAGCGGCGACCGAACTTCACCTGGCGCGCCCCATGGCGCAGCTGCGTGTCTACGCTTCGTAGTTCGGGCCCCTTTAGAAATGCGCTCAAGACCAAAGAAAAATCAAAGCACATTCCATATCCTCGACGGCCGGAGCCCCATTCGCATCAGACTTAGCAACCTCGTCCAAGAACAAACGCTTGCCAACTTCATGCGCCGACTTCCTTCCTGCGCTAGCAGGCAGCGCAAGATCCTCCTTCCACTCTTCCATGCTCGGCGCGAACACCGCCATGCGCCCGTGCCGACGGCGCCGCGGGCCCGCCCCCTCTGCCGCCAATCTACAGGCCCCACTTTTTCCGTCGCGATCCCCTTGTTCTGAGCCCGCGCCAATTCCTCCTCCAGCTGGGCCCCCCGCGTGGAGCTATCGCCTCAATCCTGCGATTTCTGGTGAGACGCCCCAGATTCAGCGCAGACCCCGCGTTCTTGCCCAGCTGCCCCCTGGCCCGCGCGCGCGAGACGCAGCTGCCCCCCCCGTGGCAGGTGTCTGATATGAAGCGGGCATGACCGCCCGAAGGGTCTGCAACAGCTCAATCAGGTCACGCCGTGATTTTTGAAATGTCCAATTCGCAACACAGTTCCCAACAACAATTGCGAACGAACAATTTTCCAAACGCATAATCTGGCAGGGGCACGATTAATAAGTTTTGGCGGCGCTGCAGTGCGCCCTTAAGAAATATGCAGAAGGCGAACGAACCAGGCCGCCGGGGGCGCCCCCGCGACCGCCCTGGCACTCCGCGCCCAGGGGCAGATTCCCGCGCTGGGTTCCCGCGGGGGGGCAAGTCTTTAGAGGCCCGCCGCGTCGACGACGATCGGCGCCGACGCTCGGCGCCCCGGCGACGATCGTCGCCGACTCTTGGCACTGACGCTCGGCGCCGACACTCGACGCCGACGCTCGGCAGTCGCGCTCGGCGCCGATGTTCAGCGCTAACGCTCGGCGCGCGCACTCACCGCGAGCGCGCTCTCAGCCCCATCGCCCCGCCAGGGTGCGCTCACCAGAGTGCGCTCTGGTGAATGCACTCTGGGCATCCAAAAGGGGGTGCCCAGGGGTGCAGTGACCCGCGCACGGTGACTTTCCCGTCGCGAACAAAGCAAAAACCGCCGCGCGCGCGTCGGCGCAATGTAAACTGCACCGGTAAACGAAAACGTAAAGACCGCATTGAAACTCGGAAACCCAATCGGCATCCGCTAGAAAAGCTCCGCTTCAGTTCGCAGGCCGGCACGGCGACATTCCTCTTGCGGACAATACAGAAGACGCCGCGCGAACGCGCGCGTCGGCGCATTCTAAGCTGCCGCGCGCCGCTCGGCTGCGCGCGCGGCGGACCTGGCCTCGACTGAATGGAAACATGCCAGTCTGGAGAACGCAGGGCAGCCGCGCGCGCGGTCGCTGCCTTCGAGGGCCCCCGGCCGCCGAACGCGCGGCGACCCTGCCCTCATCTGTGCGGGAAAATACAACCCGAGGGCGCCGAGAGGCGCCGCGCGCGGCGGCCCTCGGTGGCCCCGAGCCGCCGCGCGCGCGGCGGCCCTGCCCACTTCTGCATAATAAAATACGAATCTGGAGCACGAAGAGCCGCCGCGCGCACGGCGGCTATGAGGGCCCCCGGCCGCCGAGCGCGCGGCGGCCCCCCGTCTTCTGCGCGGAAAAAAAATGCTCGGGGGCACCGAGAGCAGCCGCGCACGCGGGCGGCAGCTCTTGGGGCTTCGAACTGCCGCGCGCGCGGCGGCCCTGCCATCCTGCGTGCAAAAAACCAATCGGGGGCACCGAGAGCCGCAGCCCGCGCGGCGGCTCCGCGCGCGAAGAGGCGCTGCCTTCTGTCGCGCAGAACAATACCAGTCGGGGACACCAACAGCCGCCGCGCGCGCGACAGACCTTGAGAATCCACCGGCCGCCTCGCGCGCACGGCGGCCCTGGTCTCTTCTGCGCGGTAATATGCAAGTCTAGAGCACGAAGAGCCGCCGCGCGCGGCGGCTCTTGAGCCCCGCCCCCCCCCCCACGGACACCCCCCCGCCCCGCCCCCCTCCCGGCCGCGCGCGCGCGGCGGCCCAGCCCTCGTCTCGGGAGCACCACAAGCCGCAGCGCGCGCGGCGGCTCCTCAGCTCTTGGTGGCCCCGAACCGCCGCGCGCGCGGCGGCCCCACCTCCTTCTGCGTGGAAAATGCCACTCGGGAACACCAGCGACACCTCTTGAGAACCCCCTAGTTTAGCCGCCGCGCGCGCGGCGGCCTTGTCCTCTTTCCGCGCGGGGGAAATATAGTTCGGGCCGCCAAGGGCAGCCGCGCGCACGGCGGTGCGAGGGCCGCGCGCGCGGCGGCCTGCCTTCTTCTGCGTGGAAAATAACTCAGGAGCAACAAGAGCCGCCGCGCGCGCGACAACCCTTGAGAATCCCAAGCCGCCGCGCGCGCGCGGCGGCCCTGCCTTCTTCCAAATGCAAATGCACCTGCACCAAGAGCCGCCGCGCGCGGCTTGAAGGCCCCCAGCCGCCGCGCGCGCGGCGGCTCTAGTTTCTCCTGCGTGGAAGTGCTACCGGGGACGCCAAGAACCGCCGCGCGCGCGGCGGCCCCTGTGCCCCCCCCCCCCGTCCCCCACCAGCCGCCGCGCGCGCGGCGGCCATGCCCCTTCCTGCGCGGAACATCAAATCAAATTCGGGAACGCCGAAGGCCTCCGCGCGCGGCGGCTCCTGATGGCACCGGCGCGGGAAAACTTAACAGCGCGCGGGGGCAAGGCCGCTGCGCACGCGGCCGCCATGGCCCATGCTGTGTGGGAAGCGTACGCACGTACACTGTTCCAGTAGGACGAGAACTACTGATCCGTCGATTGGAGCAGCCTATACATCTGCACGCAAGCAGTTCGAATCCATTTTCGAATGCGTGCGCGTGCGCGTATACATTTACAATACACACGTATGCTCGGCCGGCGTATTAATGACACTCGGGATCCTGGGGGGGGAGGTGGGGTCATCAATTTTTAGCAGGTTTTGGACGTTAGTCCAACACCCAGCATACATAACTTTAAGAACGGCCTCCTCCGCCGACCGTCTGTATGTGTCAACGTGATAATCAATTCCCCAAGCTTGACCAAGGCTCACGTAATATCATATGGGTAGCGGCTTTTTACTTGTGTAGCACGGTCTGAAAACAATCTCGAGAATGGACGGGTTGTAGTCGGGCGGTTGGCTGTTAGGCATGGCTTGACGGCGCAACTCGATAAAAATGCAAGCCGCCTCACACAAGCAACACTCGAAGACGTATTAAACACATTATCGATCCAAGAAACATGCTGCGCAGGACGTCGCGCGATGGGTCTACACATATTTAGTACTGGTCTTCGCGCCGTAATATGACGGACCACACAGGAAAACAATCGTCGACCATTGCGAAACGATGTCTCTCTGCCAACTCCATCATCAGCGTACCTGCTTTGTGTTCCAAACTCCGTCCGTGCGGTCCAACAACCACTGAGCCCACATGAACCAATCCGTGCTGACCAATGGTCGTGCATATACCATCGCTCGCGCCTGCTGATATGATGGGATAAGACTGGCCAGGGATGGCTGCCATCACGCTCTGAGCAAAAACGTGCACCTGGTCGATCGTGTGCGAGAGTTTCATGTGTTCTCGCAGGTCTCGACTGCGGGGCGGGAGATAGAGTCCTATGACCGTGACAGCACCGTTGTAGCTTTTGACGCGTAACGCCGCCGCTCTCCCACTGGTAGACTTGTGTGCACTCCCTGGACCTCTCCCGCGGTGAGTTCTGACCAGGATTTCGAAGCGAATCCAGCGGTGTCCACAAAAGGGGCCTCCCAAGAGGCCGAAAAGAAGGAAACGAGCAAAGGGCAGCGGTATCGGTAGCCTTTCCTCCTCAGCCCTCCCCCTCCGCCTCCTACCCCTCCGCGCCCTCGGTGGGAGGGAACCCCGCCGCCGCTCTCGTCGCCTTCGCTGCGGAGGGAAGAAGGGCGGCGCCTGGCCTGTGCGAGAAGAGGTCGTCGCCCAGCCTCTGGTGCTTCTGCTGCTGTGCCTGGTGCTGCCTCTCCTGGTCGCCGCTCGGGTGAGGTGGGGTGGGGCGTTGCTCTACTTGGGCGTATGCCTTCGATCTCGGCACCTCGCTGCCCGAAACCAAGAGCCGCAACAAGAGAGTGTGGAAGGATTAGCCGTAAGAGCAACGAATGGCAGATCGGAAGGCTATAGCCTGCATCGAACAAACTGTGCAGAGCTGCAGGGAGGGCGGAGGAGGGGGAACAGAGAGGCCTCCCCCCTCACGACGACAATGGCAGCGGTCTCACCCCTCCTTTCCCCACCTCTGGAGGCGGTGGTCTTACCCAGGGCCTGCCGCGTCTGCGCGCGGCGGCCGCGCTAGCCCCGCAAAGATGTGAGGACGAGCGCACGCGTTGGCGTAGCGGTAACGCGGGGCCGAAGAGGATCCTTGTTGCGCTCCTACGATGGCCCCGAACGTGCCAACTGTGAAAGGGGCATGGTCACGCACTCTTGCCCGACTGAGGGAACCCGAGCGATTGAGATCCCAGATCTCAGGGATGCGAGTGACGGTGGAACACGTGGCTCCACACAGACGATCGCACAAACATTGGGGCTCCACACAATAGGTTTCCGCACACAGCATCGTGAGTCGCATGCCCAGGCTTCCGCACGCACGGTGCTCCGCACACCTGGTGCCCCAACCAACGCTCGGGCTCCACGCGCAGACGCTGCCGTACACCTGAGGGCCCACATATCACGAGCCACGGGCGCCAGGCGAAGCCGAGAGCCCCAAGAAGGTCGCGGGCGCGCGACCCGAGGACGGAGAGATGGACAGCGGGGCCTGCGCGCTGTACACATCCATTCCTCCTCCTCCTCCTCCTCCTCTTCCTCCTCCTCCGCCTCCGCCTCCGCCTCCACCTCCTCCTCCTCCTGGCGTTCTGGGGCTCGACACGGAAATCATTCCACGCAGTGGCGCCAGACAAGGGCACGCGCTCGATGTCGCGCAGCCGCGCCGCGTGGGAGGAGGGCGGCCCGTGCCGGGAGGGGCGGGGGCCACGGGGCGCGCGGGCGGGCAGCGGGCGGGCGGGCAGCGGGCGGGCAGCGGGCGGGCGGGCCGCGGGCGGAGGGCCAGTGGGCCCGAGGGACGTGCCCGTCGCCGCTCCCGGCGCAGAGTCGTCTCCACGCCAGTGGCCCCAGGCTGCTGAAGGCCTTGGAGCCCACACTGCCCTTAGCGCTGGCCAGGCCGCAGCTGCCCGCATCCGCCACAGCCTCGGCGGGCTCCTCCCTGTCGCGCACGACTGCGCCATCCCCTCTGGCACTCCGCAGCGGCACCGCCGCGGAAGCAATTCTGCGGATCTGCTCGGGCCGAGGGGGATGGTCAGTGAGTGACCTTTGGTGCACGACTTTCGAGGGCCGCAGGGGACCAGATTCGGGGCCACCCCTGCAGGTCCGAGCCACAGGTCAATCCGGCGAAGGTCGCTCTCTACGCGCAGCCGACAAACAGGGAGAGGTTAGGAAATACCTCCTGGGAGGTCTTCGTGAGAACTGTTAAATGCTGCCAAGCCTGATTAGGGCGCCATGAAGCCGGACCCGGCTGGATGAAGCCCGGGATTAGATAGCTGGACCGGGATTAAGCTGGGCTGTGCCAAATGACTCGTAGAGCTTCCCTAAGAGCGAAGCGGCGAACCTTAAGAATAATTCGACAACGCTGGCTGGCGAGCTGGCTCGAACAATCTCGACGGAAGTTTGGCATAAATTGTGCCGGTTGAAAATCAGCTTCTCGAAATTCAACAATTCGCCAGGGCTCTAATATTTTTCTACCCATATTTGATCATACTCCCGCTCGCCATCTTGATATCAGGTCGATCGGGTGGATATTACTATCAACAAGGACTCAGGCGGGATCGGGTGTTGAGTGCCATCTTGGCAGATGCTGTCGGTTTTTCTTAACTTAACTCGGGCTGCAGATGAACTACAGGGCTGCTCGGCACAGCAATCGAAAGGCAAGCATCATAAGCGCGAATCTAAAGTATCAAGATGCCAGAGATCGGTCTGCTACCAGAGCTGTTTTGAGAGACGATGTTGGTTCTCTCCACTTAATTCGAGCAGTAGGCGAGCTACGGGGCTGGGAAGCACACAGTTCAACAGGAAATGCTGAGGAGCGCAAGTCTTAAGTATCTAGACGTCTGAGATCGGTCTGCTACCAGAGCTTCGACCAAACAACTATTTGCACTCTTTATTATTTTTGAAAGGCGATGTTGGTTTTCTCTATTTAATTCGAGCTCTAGGCAAGCTACGGAGCTGGGAAGCACACCGTTCAACAGGAAATGATCAGGAACATTCGCCTACAGTATCGAGACGTCTGAGATCGATCTGCTACCAGAGCTGCGACTGAAACGCTACTCGGCCTCTGCAATGTGTTGTGAGAGATGATGCTTGTTCTCTCTACTGAATTCGAGCTGTAGGCTAGCTACGAAGCTGAGATATACACCAAACGACAGGAAATGCTGAGGAGCGCTCGTCTAAAGCATCTGGACGCTTTGGGTCGGTCTGCTACCAAAGCTGCGACTCACAAACTATTTGCACTCTCCAAAATTAAGAGAGGTTCGCACTACTTGCAATCCAACAACTATCTGTAATTCGAGCTGTAGGCAAGCTACGGAGCTGGGAAGCACACCGTTCGAATGGAACAGATCACGGGCGCTAATTTGGCGTATCGAGACGTCTGAGATCGGTCTGCTACCGTGCTCTGCAAACAGCTACCAAGCTGGCCTGCTCTACGCGTGACGACAGCTTCTGAATATTCACACATATATATATACTCTCCAAACATATGTTCAACTTCAGTCGTGTACTTTCTTGCGTGCTTGTCTCAACTGAACTCGAACCGTGGGCAAGCTAAGGAGCTGTTAGGCACATTTCTATGTAACCGCACGATTGCCGCGCTCGCATGCCATATATATATATATGTGTGGCAAGGAAGCTTTACGAGTCCCCAGCGGTAACCACGGTTGACGGTTTACCGCTGGCGTTCAGTTAAGCCCATTGCGGACCACGGGGATACCAGCGCCGACGCTGAATTTACCCTCCCAGGACTTGCATACGAAAAGCATGGGCATCTACAGCGCCCCTGCGGGCCGCATGCCAGCCCACACTAGCAGTCTGTCGGATCGGGCTAGGAGCACGCTGGCCGCCGAGGCTGGCGCAGGGCTGAACGTCGGGTCAGACGACGGGCTGGGTGTCGGACAGGTCGGGCTGGCCGACGGGCTAGGTGTGGGGCTGAGCATCGGTCAGGGCGTCGAATAGGGCGTTGGGTAGGGCACCCTGTAGCGCGTCGGGAAGGACGTCAGGAACACGAGTAGACCGCCTGCGCGCCCCCGCTCCTAGGCGCTCACCCCGCCTCCGAGGCGCAAGGGTGCCCCGAGTCCCGGATGGGGCCCGCGGGCGGGCTCTGGGCAAAAAGGGCAGCGCGCGCAGGCCGCCGCGCGCTGCTCGGAGAGGACACGCGAAAGGGCACAAGACCCCTCCGCGGCCCACGTGGCTCCAGGAGTGCTGAGGACAAGAGCAGCGACACGCAGGACCCAAGGGCACCCTTCACTTGGCAGGGTCGACCTACGAAACCAACTCGACTGCGCCCCTGCAGCTAACGCCTCCCTGCTGCACCGCCAGAGGGAAAAAGCCTGAGGCCGCAGCGCTGGCGACAAGGATACTGAAGTCTTGCTCCAGGATGGAAGCGATCTGTCGAGCAATAGCAGCGGGGATGTCAACATGAAGGAGGCGGGTCCTGAGGGAAACGGGTCCTGGACCCGGGGGCCTTCCCCCACGAAGAACTCTTCATCCTGAACCGCTTTTTCTGACAGTCGGGGGTCCCTCGGATGGCCCCGGGAGGCCTAATATATATGTACATATATATATATATATATATATAAATATATATATATAACACAAAAACCATTATTTTCAAGAACCGTTTCCTTCAGGGCGAAGATGTACCGCCGCGCGAAAGGCGCCGGCCCCCTGGTTAGCAGGGGGCCTGCCAACGCAAAGGTACTGGCCGGCTGGGGAGCCTGGCGCTGCTCTGGATCTTGCCCGCGCCGGAAAAGGCTGGAGGCCCGAAGAGATGTGGGGCTCGGCATGCTGGCGGGTTCGCGAAGACCGGGTCAGCTGATATCATCGGACCAACTGGCGCCAGGAGCCGACGAAGCCGAACTAGACCCTGATCTGCATCCAGCGGCTAATATGGCGCGCCAAACCGATCGCCCGTCGGACCGACCTATGGCTGGCTAGACGAGCCAATGACATTCTTCAGACAACCCTAATGACTCGCTGGCCGCAGGGGATCGCTGGCCATCTGCGAAAACGTCCGCGGGAACACGGCGGTCTCGCAGCATTGGGTCGGGGCGCGCCCGGCCTGAAGGTCCACGATTTCGGCGCCCTTTGCGGCGAGGCGGCGCTGAGAAGTTGCAGAATGCTCTGTCAGCGTGCACTCGTCCAGCGCGGCCTCGTCGGAATGCGTCGCGCAATCTACGTGGCACACGCTGCGCGGCCGCCCACAGGACGCCCACGAGGCGCCAACGGGCGAACAACAGGCGAAACCTCGGCTCACCCACCCAGCGCGCGACGCGCCCACGAGATGCCCACGGGCGGCCTCTGGGCGAAGCCTCGGCACACACACACACATCTCACCTACACACACAAAACACACACACACACACATACACAAACACACAAACACAAGACACAAACACCTTCACACACACATACACACACACGCACCCACACCAGCACACACAAACACACATTCACACACACACACACACACACACACACGCACGGACGCACACACACAAACAAACACACACACACACACACACACACGCACACCCAGAGCGGGGCGGCCACCAACTGGGCACCAGCCAAAAATCTGGAGTACACTCCACTTGATCATCACTCGCGCAAGAAGACCTAGTGCAAAGACTGTCTGGAAGATAAAGGCCGCGGCGGAACAGAACACGGGCCGGGGGATGGAGTCGAGGGCTCTCGGGACCCAACGCACCCTCAGCCTGGGACTGGTCCTCCCACTCTGCTCGCTCCTCCTCATCATCCTCCTTGCCCATCCCTCGCCAAGGGGGGGGACGACGCTTCTCCATATTCTTCCTCATTCACCTGATCCCGCTCCTCCTGATCCTCCTCCCTTCTCCCCTCTCCTCCTCCTCCTCCTCCTCCTCCTCCTCCTCCTCCTCCTCCTGCCTCTCCTGCTCCTGCGCAAGACATCGCGTGCCCGTGAGTCACCGACGAACAACTCTTGCTGGTGAACGCAAACCGGATCAATCGAGCGAGAGGCGCAACCGTCTCACGCACAAACAGGAACTCGCCTCTGCCTACATCCTCGCACTCTCCTACAACTCAACGGTTACAAATCTGGGTGGTCGTCTCCCGGTCTCCTGGGCGGCGTGGCACTCGGACACGTCCTTGGCCACCTTCTTAATGTCCTGCGGCTGCGGAGGGGGGAAGCCAGGAGGAGCGAGGGAGAGGGGTGAACGATGGGCGGAGGGTGGGATGACGGGGGGTGGCTCCTCAGCCTTATCTTTCAACCCCCCTTCTCCCGCTCCTCATCCTCATCTTTCAACCCCCCTTCTCCCACTCCTCATCCTCATCTTTCAACCCCCCTTCACTTCTCCTTGTATCATCATCCGCCTCGGGCCAACGCCTCCGCAGCCTTCCCCTCCCAACAACAAGGAACCGGCCGCCACCAAAGGATGAACCATAATCATGTGAGGCGCACCTATTCGGGATGTGATAGACCGTATGTGCTTGGAATGTGTGCATGACGATGCAAGAACGTCCATACGAGACCGCTTCGAGAACGAACAATGTTCCAACCAAACGGGCAATCCGTTACAACTCATAGAACAAAAAACGGCACTCTTTTCTGCAAAGCGTCCAACCGTCGGGGGTACTAACACTCACTATCCCGACCGGAGAAACAGCGATCGGAAATCGGGGGCCCAGCCCACCCATGCCGACATGAGCGAGGGGGAGGACGAAGAGGCGGAGGAAAAAAGGAGGCCAACGAATCACACACGCGTAGCTCATAACACTGCACGTGGGGACAATAATCAACACTCGCTTCAACACAATCATGAAAAGCAAACCATGCACGGCCATACGGGGGGGACCAAAAAGTACCGATATCGCTACTCGACAGACCTCTCCCGGGGTGCGTTCTGACCAGAATCTCGCGGCGAATCTAGCGGTGGCGACGAAGGCCTCTCAAGGTGCCCAAAAAGGCGAAAACGAGTGAAAGGTAACGGTATGTACTTTTCCACGTCTGACATACCGCGCACTGAACGCGCGATCCGCAACGATACGAGTTCCCGGAAGATTATCTCCACGGGCAGGCCAGGAGGGGAGAGCGGGGAACGGGGAGGAGGACGAGAAGGGGAACGAGGTTGGAGAACGGGGGCGGGAGGGGCGGGGAAGACTGTGGAGGAGGTGTCGGAAGGCGACGGCGAAGGGGGGGGGGACGCAGTGAGATCGGTGAAGGAAGAGTGTGGGTAAGAGGACCGAGGACTATCGTCGGAGTGAAGGGGGCCGAACGGCTTTCACTGTCCCTGGGTGTGTGGCTGAAGTGGGGTTCCGTGGTGCGGACTGTTGTTGTGTTGAATTCTCATGCCTAGAGAATAAGTAATGTTGATCCCCCATCCCCGTGCCCAGAATGGCTGTTAAATTCAAGTGCCCCGCCTGGGGCTCGCACCCTGCTTTCTATGAGGGAAAACCTTGCGGCTCAAATTCGGTTGTTGGCCCACGAACTACACCAACAACAACAGCTCCCGCCTGATCCTTCCTCACACTTCATTTCAACATCGCGCTTTCGCGTGGAACTTCCTCGCAATTTATTGCGAGACCGTGCCCCTAACACTCAGGAATCAAGCTCTCACTCTGGACTTCCTCATGACTAACTTGCGAATCGCTCTATCCCTCGAGGCTTCCTCGCGATTCATGCGGGACTCACACTTCAACAACCCGCCTGCTCGACCTGGCCGCCTTGGCGTCTTCATGACCCGGCCGTCAGGGTCTACCCGCCCGATCTGCCCGTTTGGTTCTGTCGCTTGTATTCCTGCTCCAAGTCCCCCGCCTGCTAATCTCTCTCGTGCTCCATCCTTTCCCCGCGGCTCAAGGAGACGGACGAGGAGAACAGCTTGGAAAAGACCATCCTCAAGCGCTTCGAGCCGGCGGTGGGCACCAGGGACAGCAACCCACAGCATGGTGCAGTCCAGCAAGTGGGGAAGAAGGCGCAGAGGAAGGACAAAAAGCAGAAGGCTGATGCAGCTGGAGTTGCCCACCAGGGCGTGAGCGCTGTCAGCCCTGCGCCTGGCGGAATCCAGCCCAGCCAGCGGAGGGCACGCAAAGAGGCCTGACGGCGCAGGCGGCCCGCAAGCGGGTGCACGGCGCATCCCAGCAGGACACCGCATCCTGCGGGGGGGGGGGAGGGCGTGTGCTGCTTTGCTTGACGCCTGAAGCACGATCGGAGGGCTGCCCCGCTCCCGGGGAAGGGCCGCGGGCGCTGGCATCAGAGCTCGCCTGACGTCAGCCTTCGCTGCGGCCACGGAGGCCATGACCGTCTCGAGCTGACGGGAGCAGCGGGGCAGGGCGGCGGCCACTCGAGGGGAGTGCTGCGGGCCCTGCGCCCGGGCACAGGAGGCCAAGCCGGCCCGTGCCGTCCGTCCCCAGACTGCCGGCGGCGGGCTGCCGGCGGGCCTGGGCTCCCTCCAGCTCGTAACGGCGCCGCAGGCGGGGATGAACGGGGTTTGGGCCGGCGACTCGAAGGGAATGTTGCGGCTCCGCGCCCAGGCAGGGGGGGCGTGTGCACCTGTCCCACTCCCAGCTGCTGGCGGGCCCCGCCTGAATGGGGTGGCCGGCGGGCTGGAGAGCTTCTTCCACCTGGTCCTCGGCATGCTCTGAGGGCGGCCGGATTTTCCGGCAATTGTCATTGCTATGCCATGCCCTTCCATCCGTCCTCTGTTCCCTTGTTTCAGGGGCTGCGCCAACTACACGTGGCAGGTAAGGAAGATAGACTGCCAAGGGGGTACGATCATAGACGAAAAGGGCGGATATCGAGGGTTTGGGATTTACGCGTTGGAGGGCACGCGAGCAAGTGAGAGCGACATGTGTTCAAATGATTGTAAAGCTTGTTGCTGATTTCCCGCTTTTCCATTATAGTTATTGTTGATCCCCCAACGGTTCAAATTGTGCTTTTTCAACTGAAGTGTCTCGCACCCTGCTTGTTTTGTCAGGGACAACTTTAGTGCTCAAGCTGTGTTGTTGCCCCCCCGTCTACACCAACAACAACAACATCAACAACAACAACAATTACTAGCACGTGGGGACACACCGTTCTCACCAGTGCCAGGGTTTTCGTAGGAGGCGGGCAATACCCCCACTTTGTGGGGGGGCCGGTTCAAGCTCTACCAAATTTCCAAACGACTCTTCGCCACCACCCACACCCAGCTTCCCGCCCTATGACGTTCGGACACTTCACTTCGTGGCATGCGGACGACCGTGGCTACTATTCAGGGCCCCGCGGCCGACGACGACGGCGTGCGCGCGCGAAGAAAAAACGAATGTGTCCCGCATGGTATTATTTGACAGGGATGATGGCCCTGGCAGGTGCGCAACCGTTGTTGCAGAAGTTCGAAAAAGTTGCTCGCAAAAGCCCGTTTGACAGAAATGATTAAAAAGTGTTGGGTTTCCTACGAATCCGCAAGAGCGCGCGGGATGAAATTTTGACATTTGTTTTGAAAAACCATTGGTTTTTTGATGTTTTATGTTAAAATCGCTACGAAAACTAAGGTTTTGGAAGGATTTCGTCTTGCGCGCGCGAATGTCCACTTTACCTTATTTTTTGCAAGGGATTCTTGAAGTTTGGTTATGTTAGAACAAGAAATGTCCACTTTAGCTTATTTTTGCAAGGGAAAACCGATCGTAACAACACAACCGGATCCGGACTCCCCCGTTTTGCCTGAGACTTCCTCGCGAAAATGATGAAAATGAGGCTGCGGCCTAGGCGCGGCGGGGGGGTCGTGCACCAGGGGTCCCAACAATAATTATTCTTTAGAAGTAATAATGTTCAACGGCTCCCGCCTGATACTTCCTCCCAGGTAATTCAAGAATCGCACTATTGTGCGGGACTTACTCACAATGTATGAAGACATCGCGCTCTCGCGGGGGAACGCCTCGCAATTTAATCAGACGCCGCGCCCTCCACATTCAAGAATCACGCTCTCGCTTTTGTGTTTCTCACGATTAACTTGGGCATCGCGCTATTGCTCGAAACGATTTGGCGATTCATGCAGGGTTTACGCTGCAGCAACCCGCCTGCTCGACCTGGTCGCCTGGGCCCGCCATCCCGACCCGCCCGCTAGGGTTTGACCCCCGGATCTGCCCGTCTGGTCTTGCCACGTGATTTCTGTTCCGAGCTCCACTCCTGCTATTTTCTCTCGTGTTTCATCCTTCTCCCTCCCCCTCTATCCGTCCTCTCTTCTCCTGTTTTAGGGACTGCGCTAAATGGGCGTGCCAGTAAAGAAGATATACTCCCCAAGGGGGGGAGCACGATATAAGACGAAAGGGGCGGAGACCGAGGGCTTGGGATACACGTGTTAATTGACACTCGCGAAGGTTGTTGCTGCCGCTGCTGTTGTCGTCGTCGCCGTCATCGTTGTTGCTGTTGCTGTTGCTGTTGATATTGATGTTATTGTTGTTTTGGTTATATATTGTTGCTGCAACTGCTGCTGTTGTTGGTGTTGTTTATTCATGTTGTTGTCGTCGCGACACACTCTGCGACCCAACCAAGACCCGCCCGCGACCCTCCCGCGATCCACACGAGACCCACCTGCGACCCGCCCGCGAACCACCCGCGACCCACCCACGACCCGCCCGCGACTCACACGCGACCCATCTGCGACCCATCTGCGACCCACCCGCGACCCACCCGCGACCCACTTCGCGACCCACCCCGGGGCCCCGCCCCATACCCACCCGCGACCTTCCCCGCACCCGCGCCCTCTTAATTTTACCCGCAGTTGCGGAGTGCTACATACTATCGTCGTCGGCAAAGTCGTCAAAGTCGTCAACATCGCCGTCGTCTGAGCCGTCATCAAAGTCTTCGTCGCGTGCGCCGTCGAATTCGGCGTCCCGGCCGTCGTCTTCGTGTTCGTCGTCCTTGACGACGTCGCAGAAGTCGCCGCTGTTGTCGCCGAGTGCGAAATCGCCTTCGTTGCCGTCGAGGTCGGCGTCGTGTTCGTCGCCGTGATTGACGCCGACATTGTGTTCGTCGTCAACGTTTTCGAAGGCGAAGTCGTCGCTCCGTCCGCTTGTTTCTCCATTTTTGATGAAGCGGTGCGGGCTGCAGTGGGGCGTCCGGTCGCCCGCACGACGGGCGTCCCCCTTGGAAATGCCCACGGATGAAATACACGCCCGCGGAACTCATTCC